CAGCTGGCCGCCGAGCGCGCTGCGCTGCCTCGATTTCCCTGCTCACAGGCGCTAAAGACCGCGAAGCAGAAACGCGAACGACTTCGGAACAAGTCCTGGCGTGGCCGTGGAAGGCACAGTGGCCCCTGAGGGCTGAGCCTCGCCGAGCCCGGAGCTCGCCCGGGACTCCCCACCTCCCGCAGTGCTCCCGCGCCTCGCCCGCCTGCTGCCGCTGGCGCCCCCAAGCGCCGTGCGCCCCGGCTCTTCTTGGAGCCTCCTCGGACCTTCGCAGCAGCGCATTGGGCTTGCGGAGCCGCGGGGTCTGGCAGGACAGGTTTCCCGTGGAATTCCCAGGGGCTAGGAGTGAGGAGGCCGTGGAAGGCAGCCCTCGGCGGCCCCCTGTCCCCGTGCGCTCCGCCCTGGGATGTCCTCCTCGCTGCGGGGGCGACTGGCGCGCGAAAGGTGCGCGGTGGAGCCGTGAGGTTCAAACCTTGGGAAACATACTCAGGGGCTCCCCATTCCTCCCAGCCCCTCACCGACATGGACAAAGGCTGCGCGTGGGGTGGGTGGAAGGCAGAGACTATCGAGGCTAGAAAGCCCGAAGCGGGTCCTAGGAGAAAAGAATAGGACATCTTCCCANGAAAACCACTATGTGAAGCTATAAAAAGCAAAGGGGGCGGCGGCGAGAGAGCAGACGCGGAGCGGGAGGCCCGGCGGAGCGCGCGACGGCTCCGCAGCATCGCAGCCGCACCCCCGGCGGCGCTCGGCTGCTGGTGTGAACCAGGGAAAGACGCTCCCGGCGACAGTCCGCGCGCGCTCGGGGCGGGGNCTCCCTCCGCATTACAAAGCCCCCCTCGGGATGGGCTGAGCACCCCGTCGGGCGCCGACACAGCCTCAGCCGCAGTCATCCCCTGGGAGGCACAGACTAAAACCTAACTCGCGCGGGCTCGGACCACAGTATAACGCCCGCGGACTCACTTCCCTGGCCCTAGGGCAGGGCTTTTCCAGGGCTCCCCTCGGGGTCAGGGACCGAGGATGGGTCGGGAACCGAAGGGAGGGCGCGCTGGCGGTCCCCCGGCGCGGTGGCGGCCGGCCGGCCCCCACTTCCACGTTTGCACTCCTTGCGTTTCCACGGGTCCTTCCACCCTCCCGGGCCGCAGTTAGGAGCCCGGAGCCCTCACGTTCCTCTAGGGGCGAAACCCATTTTCTCCATTGTAGGGGGAGGGAGATGGGAGNATCTCCCAGGAGAGCGCGGGCTCGCAGAGAAAAGGAAGACTTGAGTCCTGCAGAGTGTGAGGCGTAAAGGGTAGGCAAGGAAAAGAGGAGAGAAAAGCGTCGGAGGCCGAAGGAGAAGGCACTGGTGTCGACGTCGAGCAGCTAAGAGGAAGGCTGGAGCGCGGGGATCCCGGCGGGGCCACGGAGGTGCGGGGCGCGGCGCAGCGGAAGCGGCGGCCGGCGGGGCTGAGTCTTCTGGCACCTCGGGGCACGCCTCCTCGGCGGGAAGGCGCCTCGCCTCGGCTTCCAGTCACTGCACAACTTCCTGCGCTGGTGGAGAAGTGGGTCTTGCTTGGGTAGCGCGCGCTCCTGGTGTGAGGCGCGAGACTGAGTTCACAGGTGCTTGCCCCACCCCCTCCCGAAGCCAAGTGGGGTTTGGGGAGCAGCGTCTTCGAGCCTCCGCGCCCCGAGCGAGTGGCCCGCCTGTTGGGGTCCTCCCTCCCCTCGCATCAGCATCCCTCGGGCTCTGCGCCTCTCCGGGGACCCCTCGCCGGGAGATGGCCGCTTTGATGCGGGGCAAGGACTCGTCCCGCTGTCTGCTTCTCCTGGCCGCGGTGCTGATGGTGGAGAGCTCACAGCTCGGCGGTTCGCGGGCCAAACTCAACTCCATCAAGTCCTCTCTGGGCGGGGAGACGCCTTTACAGGCCTCCAATCGATCTGCGGGCACATACCAAGGACTGGCTTTCGGCGGCAGTAAGAAGGGCAAAAACCTGGGGCAGGTAGGAAAACACCCCCAATATACTCTTCAAACCAGGAGAGGGAGGGACCAGCGCTCCCGAGAGCTTCGTTCGCCTTTGCGCCCCTTGAACTTCCCAGTGCGCTCGCAGGTGGGGCGCACACGACAGCTGGGGAGGGGATCCCAGAGCGGGTCTGCGAGCGCGGAGGGTGTGGAGCCGGCGGGGTAGGGTCCCGTCTCACCTTTGCTTTGGGGCTCGGGCATGTGCAGCGATCTAAGTGCGTACGCAGGGGTGGGGAAAGCGGCCGGAACGGTCCTTCTCGCAATTTAACTCGGCGATGCTGAGGATGATGCTAGTATCTAACCCGTAGCCACTGGCAGTGTTCTAAGCGTTTTACATGTATTTAATTTCCACACTCTATGAGTCGGGCTCTGTTACTGTCTCTATTCAGCAAGTGGAGAAACTGAGGCACGGGATAGCAGTTCTTTGGCCAAGGCTTACAGCTAGTTTAAGTGGCAGAACGAGCGGGATTCCAGTCCCAAGAGTCTGAGTCTGGTCCTGGGCTCATCCTTACATTTCACAATCTGGAGGTGCTGGGTGCTTACCCACTTACAGGTTTTCCTTTCCTTCCAACCACTTTGTCTTCTTCAAAGAAGGTCACAGGCAGAAAGCTTCGATAGGCTCCCAGGTCTCACTCCTCGAGAACTGTAAATAAATCATCCGGGAGGGAGCAAAATAACGCAGGGACGGGGCTGCATCGTAGGCGCGGTCGACGGGGTGCCGGCGATGGAGCAAGGAAAGCCCCGGGGGCATTTCTCTGCTAGAGGGAACTTTCCGTGGGCGTCTCCACGTCTGCCTCTGTCTCGCAGACAGACAGATTGACAGTCACGTGTAAACAGTTACACAAACAGACACACACAAAGGCAGGCGCGCGCGCACTCGGCCCCAGCGGCGGCCGGCGCGCAGCAGCCAGGAGAGGGGGCCCTGTGGGCACCGGGAACCACGACAGCTCCTCCTTCCGCTCCTTTTGTAGGAAGCCCAAACCGAAAGCCAGTTCGCCAGACAGCACTGGCACTTGGCACAGCACAGCTGTCAACCCATGAAGGCGGTTCATTGCCTCACATACCCGAGTTTCCTTGTTTCAGCAAAGGAACCAACTGCAGGCGCTCTCTGCGCTCTCGGTGCCCTCCGCTGCCCTTGACCTCAGCGCCAGCGGCGGGGTGAAGGGTAACAGCTAGGGCCAAACCCGGATGGGAGCCAGGGAAGACCTGGCCCGCACTTGGCCCCCCTACTGCCCTCTCACGGGGCAGTTTTGCTGGTTTAGCAGTTCCAGGAGGCCTCCTGGGCTTTGAAATGTCAAGCGTTTCAGCTATCCCCTCGAAGGAATACAAGGTCTGCAATCACAGGATTTTCTTAAAGATCTCAAGGGAAATAAACTATACATATGCATACACTTACACTGCACGCATACATATCCTTTGCACTTTATCACGCATGTCACTTATCTCCACACATACATGACCACGATCCTGTTCTCGTCCTTCAGAAACACCCTGACATTTTCAATCAGAACGAACCTAACGTTTTCTTAGAAGTCCATCGTGAGATGGGACCAAGGTTGCAAAGAAAGGATGCTCTCAATCCAAATCATCAGACGTATCTCTAAGGGAACCGACTTTCAAGTCCCACCTTATCAGTTGCTGAAAAGAGCCTAATGTTTAGTTCAGCCGAGGACAGAAGAAGGGGTCCAATGTGTTTTGAGGTTCCATGCACACCCTGTATGTTTCTGTAGAGGACTTTCTGTGTCTGTCACCACTGAACCCCAACACCTGATGTTCCTCAGTCAAATGGCCAGTATGTCAGTACTGGCCATGGGGTTACATGGACTAGACTGAAGGGTGCACCCTAGAACCCAGCTTATCCTTTATGTTTTGATAGTATATTTGTACGTAAATACTCATAAAATGTCTGTTTATATTGCTATCTCTCCAAGTACCTGCTCCTTAAACAGGTCTCAACTCTGTTTGAACGTCTTTATTAAACTGAAGATTTATTTATTTATTCTAAAAGTGAGTTGAATTCTTTGAGTTGAATTACTCAGATGCTCTCCATAACTTAGTGGTACTATAAAATATATTTTATTATATTTATTTAACTGCAATGTTAGATCCTTAAAATCTATGGTTGGGTTTGTGAGAAAATTGTAACATATCAGAGATAATGGTAACATAAAATAAAACACTGAGTTGAATTGCAGGAAGATAGCTGGGAAATGCGAGGATTATCTTTTGTATATTCTGGCTGCTCAGTTGTTTAGCGGGTGATCTAAAATACTGTTGTCAAGAAATAAATAGAAAAATCTCTTCTCTTTGAAGTAGGAAGAGGAGTCTTTGAAAATTTATGAGTTTCTTTATTTTCTTTATTCCATTAGTTACGTGGTCACCAAAATCCTTAATACTCTTATTTTCAATCATGGAATGACAATTAGGAAAGATTATTCAAAAGGGAAGATGTACTTCTTTTTACAAAGAAAAACTCTGAAACTGAAATGTAGCTAAGCTGAATTTTTATTCATCATAATAGAAAAATATGAATGGTTGAGAAGACTGGAAGTGAAGTGCCAACTGATCAAATTAGCTAAATTATGTAGGGTCACCCTGAGGCCTAGTAAATTCTGTTCTCTGCCTTTTCCCTCATCCTTGACTGATGCTGTTGAAATACATGAATTTCAGAGGTACAGGAACAAGGAGCTGTAGGATGACCTTCAAGTAGGCTTATTAGACACTTCCTCTTTGGGCTTCTATTCTGCAGTGAAAATCATCTACTTAGTTTTTTTCTGATACACTTTCAGGATAGAGAATTAAAATAAAATTTTGATTGCCATTGCAGAAGAAACTATCAAACAAATCTAATAATTTATTAATCTCCAAAAGTGAAAATGAGACTAAGTGTGTCCCAAGGTTTTCTTGATTCACTGTAGATTGATTTCATATGAAGTAACCGTTCTTATTTGTAGGAATGCCAATTGTTATAGGCAAGGTGGGTTATTTGTAAATCACTCCTTGAAAATGTGCCTTTGAATTTCAGAAACAAACGAGGTAGGGGGCTCAGAGAAAACGCACTGTGTTCCAGGGGTGTTACAATTCTCATTCGTAAGGTTTGCTTTCAAAGGAATGGTCATGAGTTATGATGGAAACTGACATAGAAAATTGAATGTAGAAATATTCAGGGAATTGGTACAGAAGTGGTAAAAATGTTTTTGCTGAGTTTTTCACATTAATATTTTAATTTGGCTTTTTGTTTGCATCTATTGCTAATGAGTTTTAAGATGTAGTGAATATATATATATATATATATATATATATATATATATGGGATAAATTAGGTTGTAGGGCTGTTACTAACATATATGTGCGTCAATATTTTACTTATATACTTCAATTTCTAAAGAAATTATTGCAAATTTTCTAAAGCAAAGGTAATTTTAAACAAAATCTTTACTATCATACAGATAAATATATTCTGATTAAGTACACTGTTGCTCAACATCACTTCTGGAGTTTGAGGTGTCAACTTTACAGGCTTTCTTAAAGACACATTTTTTTAAAGAGCAATTTATAAAATGATTTTACCTTTGCGATGCACGATGATATGTTTTCGGGAATGAAAAGCCTTTCGGATTTGTGTTGGTAATTGCTTCTTTTAGTGTCTACTCCTTGCCTTTTCCTTTTGAGACAAGCAGAGTAATTAATTTGAATGAAATGCTATAGAATTTTAAAATATTTAAAAATATTATAAATAAAGCTATGGGAAATAATTACATTTTTAAGATAGGTCAACTTCCTGACATGCGCCTCTAAAAAGAATCTGAAACTGATTTAACGTTTTCAGATTTCATGATTTTCTAATATAACTTGGACATTTGGAGGACAGTGGTTTGGATGAAGTTATGTTGTGAAAAAAGAATGTTTGAAATACATTGAAACAGAAGCTTGAGGGAGTTGATTAGAAAGCATTACTATTTATATGCTGCATTTTCTTTAATAAAAATATTCTATTTGCACGCACAATCACGCACAAAATCGCTTGCTGAAATAACTCTACACTCTGTTTTCTATAGGTGATCTCCTCACTTTCTGAAATTATCCATGATTTTTTTTTTTAACCCCAGCCCAACTTCCCCTTGCTGGAGAGTAAATACCTGGATATCAACTGACATTACACGAAATCGGGAAAACAAATCATTTTTCAAATCTTCCAAAATATAAAGATTTTGAAACAATCTACACTAAGGTTTCTTTCCTTTCACTGCAGATAATAGAGAATTGATGATAGTGGATGCAAGTGGAAGGTTACCTCATGAATAGCAAGAAAAGTATTTTAATGATAATCTAAGTATGAGCATCCATCATTTTATTTTTGTGCTAGACTAGAGAGAGCAAGGGACACGGTTACTTAAACTCACTCCAGCTGTGACTTCGACCCTACCATAGTCTTCTTTAGTGCTCCCCTCTGATACAAATACTTCGCAGGATGTTTCAAATCTTACCGTTATTTTAAAGTAGAGAAAGCAATATAATAGAAAGGTAACTGATGCATTCTGTTCTATGAGAATATTCCCACTTTCTTTTCTTTTCTCTGAACAATCACTTTAAATGTGCATTAAAATAAGCTATTAAATTATAGAGGCCTTTTATAATGCTCAGTATATTTACCATTTTCGACTGAGTCTCTTCTGAGTTTACTTCTTGGTATTGATGTAACATCAAAATGAATTACAATTTTATTTCTGTGTGTGACTCCCTGATGGCCCCTGAAAGGCATTTTACTTCCTGATACCTCTAGTCACTTGTCCTCATCTACAAAAAAGCAGATAAAGCTGCTCCTAGTTATTTATCCGATGATTGAAAAGATTTAGGCGATTTTGTGTCTGCCTCTGTCTCCCACTGAGTCATTTAAAAAAATTCTGAAGCAAACGCAAAAGGAAACAAAATTCATACTACTTAATAGATGGACTTCTGCATGGCATAGAATTGCTTTAA